GCTATTACTCCTGCGATAGTTATAATTGCTATAACTGTTGCAATATCTTGGGTTATGATATTTGGGTCGTTAAAGTAGCTTGGTGTTTGTATTACGTTTGCTGTTATGGTTTCAATTACTATCGTGGGTATTGTTGTGATTACTGGTATTGCTGTAATAAATTCTGTTATGATCTCAGTTACTGTGGGTATTGGTATATTTAGTGTAATGAATATAAATTGTTGTTCTGCAACTAATATTACTAATATTAAGATCAATAGTAATATTAGTAATAGTTTCATTAGGTTCTTGGTGTATCTCTGAATAGAAAATATATGTCTTGAGTGTTTTTTCCCAATTCGTTATTAATTAATTGCTGTCGATTTGTAATATTGAAGTTTCTTCTTTGTTTATATAATTGTTTCCTTTTAATGCTTCTTTTTTTCTTTCAATCAAAGATACAAAACATTAATTATATTGTTTGTCAAATAGGTTTTCGTCCTGTTGCAGAGATATTGGTATCGGTTGTCGGTATATGTTCCCGAGTTGTATTTGTTTATTTTGTTTCTTTTGTTGGTTTTTGATTTTCCGTTTATAGCAGGTATGGTATATAATAGTTGCAATGATAATAGATATTATTAAAAAGGTTCCAATAATTGTTGCAGTAATAATTATTGTAGTGGTAGTATTGAGTAGAGATATAGGTATAGGTGTTGCAGTGGTCATTAGTTTCTTTAACAACAGCCTGTAGATTCTTGTTAGTAGTAGGCTAAGTTAGGATTTTGTTTGTATAAGCGTTTCTTACTTCTTTGTTGAATACAGCAAATGGTAATTATAGTCAATATCCACAAAAGTATAGTGAATATTAGTATTAACAGTAATGTTGATGCAGGTGGTTGGAGTATAGTATTGTTGCAGATAATAATTGAAGTTTCAGTTGTTGTCATTAACAATAATAGGCTGTCGAGCAGTGTATGCTACTAATCCTAATCTTGTTATAACTGTAATTATTAGTACAATTTCAGTTATAGCTACTTGTGTCTGGGGTGGTTTTCATAGAAGAATTATAGTGAGTATAATAGCAAGGATAATTGATAAAGATGTAATAATAATAGTATATTTCTTATTCAATTGCATTTAAAGAAAGGTTCAGTTATATGAAGCGTTAGTGAACCAATTATCAGAATCTGTTTGTTCTGCCTATGATTGTTGTGGTGTTAGTACTCATTTAAATTTGCCTGGTCTTTTTGGTCTAGTTAGTTGAGGTTGTTGTGGTAATCCGGTTCCTATTCCTCGGAATTGTCTATTGTTGTGTTGGTTGTTTCTTATATCGTTGGCTAAACTTTGAACTTGTTTTTGATCAAGTGTTCTGGCTGGCGGTTTGGTAAAGGGTGTTTGTTGCTGTTTAGTAGGTCTAGATACGGGTAATTGTGGTCTTTCATTTAATTTATTTTTATAGTTTCTTTTCTTTTTTTATATTCTCTTGATACAAAATATTAATACGGTTACAATAGTACAGTACATACTTGTAATTTTTGACATGGGCAAATTAAAAAAACTAAAAATTTCTAGTAAAAATTTCATGCTTTTAGATTAGGGAAGAAACTTGCAATTAGATTAGAGTTCGAAAATATTATTTATATAATAAATTTTACAACACTTAAATCAGTTTCATAGACTAATTTTTTGGTTATAAGGCAAGACCAATTTGATTCTGTGTTTTACATTATCTTCCCACCTTCCTTCTAATAAATTATATATATAATATAGTCAATTCTCCCTCTCCAAGAGGGAGAGGAGGTAATTTAAAACACAGAACCAAGTTGGTCTCGCCTAAACATTTGTCTTGCATTATAGCTGGTCTTGAAATTTGGTTGGTCAGCAAAACTTTTTAACTCTAATCCTGGGGTCCACATAATTCGCATAATTTACGATTTGCCACACGCATAATTTTGCAATTACCGGCGCATAATCCTGGACACTCTAGTGTGGGTGGGTGAGTAATACTCTATAATCACCTGATTTCCGGAAGCTCCCTAACGCTAACTTTAACTTACTGTAAAACGCTCTTTATAGTACCCGGGGTATTTTACATTCTATACGTGATCTAGGGGGTACAATACATAGCGATTTCTAATATAATTTTTTTTTTTTTTAATACTTTTTAATAATGGGATACAATACAAAAATCATCTTCAAAAAAGTCAGGGGGGTACTTTACACAGGGGGTACAATAAAGAGCGTTTTACAGTAATAGTGATTGGCTGCAAATTTGGCATCACTAACCAGGGACCTGTGGATTTTGTGATTTGCTGTGATCGAAGTAAATCACAAAATTTATGTACTGCGATTTGCTTCAATTATAGTGTTACAGAGTAAAGCCTTCTTAATTTACTCTATAACAATGACACGACACAGGGAATCCTTTCATAGATATATGCGGTGTCCAAGAAGTAAGTATAGCTTCTTTTCTATTTAAGAAACTATACTCTTCTCTAAGGCAGTTCGTGGGGAAATACAATAACAATAATAACTTATTAACACAAGAGAG